GTCGAAGACAACCAATATGGCGACGGTAGAAAACAGCCGACACATGAATTGGACATAAAATACCGTATGTTTCTGCAAATAAACCTTGTGCAATGTCTCCTAGTCACAATGTATTATTTTAGTAGCTACAGTCATTAACATAAACATTCGAATTATTCACTAAATACTTATCTAATTACTTATTTCCTTTTGTCATTATTTTGGTATTTTTGTGTGTTAATTGGTAATCAAATATTGCCCGCATTGCTGCGTTATCTTCGTTTAGAATTTGACGATTATTTAAGCTATTAAAAGTGCTTCCTTATAAGGTGACATTCTAATGAAGGCTTTAAAAGTGCTGCTGAACTTTGGCTGCACTGGTAAAAATGCTGTCAGATTGGGACACACTCATCAGGGCGCCTTATTATTGACATGTTACATGTAAAACTGAATATTAAAACAACATTTTAATTTATGTTGTAATATATCTGCTTACATACATAAAGTTTTTTTAACGGTGTTACTTTTTTTAACCAGAAGCTTGAAGCATTCTGAAAGGAAGGCTAAAACTTGTGATATGCGCACCTATATTGCGCTACACCCACTGCCTTTATTCCAAAATACACCAAACATCGCAACATGAAATCTGTTTATTCTTAACAAAAATATTGCTCCTTGTGGAGTTCGGTTTAAAATGTTACACTAAATATCTATTAACCATATAGATTTTATTCTATACCATCCCTTTATCAATAAATGGAAAATAGTACAACAACTTAAGTTTTCATTTAAACCTGAAATCATTTTCCTGTGCCATTAGGGGCATTTGATTCTGAGGCAATTAATTTGTTGGGGGAAGGGGTGGGGCAAATGTTTTCCAGTGTGCAGTGCTATATGAGTAGGTCAGACGGAAGTCCTCTTGTGGAACGTGCGGGCCTCTTGGATTTCATGTTATCCCTCTTTAATAGCAACATAACTTGCCTCTTTTAAACAAATAAGAATTACTCATAATTGTCACATCACAGTAATCCAAATCACTTGGAAAAGAAAATGTACATTCAGTAAACATGTATTATCGAAGTGGTTTCAATATATTCCTGTTTCAATTAGGAGGTGAGCGTAAGCGAATACAATTGATTATCATTTGCTAGCAACATCAAGGTTTTCTGTATGTCGGTCAGCTGGTGATGACAGCGTAGTGTATTTTTATTTCGTTGTGCTCTTCTTATATTTCCTTGGAAGCAGTATATTTCGAAACTGAACCAATTACAAATATGTTCACTTTTTTCTCTTTTCTTAGTTGAAGGTTTAACGGTTTATACATTTTTAGTGGGAAAATCAATAAGGCTTGTCATTACTTTATTTATAAGTATCAAGCTTGTATAATGAAATTATATTCAAATTCACGTGTCATGTGATGACGCAGTTTCGCGATTACTTCATCAATATTCAAGCGTTTTTCACAATTCAATTTATTTTTATTATTCTCAACCCGCGACACGAAGAAAAAAACCCAAACCTGTTAATTCCAATCCAGTCTGAAAGAAACGTAAAAAACCCATGAAATACGTTTCAAAGCATTCTTTAAAAAGAACAAATTGTCGGAAGAAACTTTTAAAGCTAAACGTGACATGTGAAATTCGTTTTAACATTCATACACTTATTTGCATAAAGACAGCTCACAAGACAATCAAAGCAGAACAATATTATCTCTGTAATAAATTGTTTCGTTATGAAAGGAAGGTTTGCTACTCAAAACATCATCATTTGTTTGGGTTTATAGATTTTTGTGACAGTTGTTTGGCTGGAACTGGATATTCCTTGTTGATTATCGTCATGATGAAACTTGACACTTGAGGTAATATTCAGTTTCCATAAAAATCGACATGTCTACGTTTTTATTATGATTGAAGATAGATATTCTATCGAAATATATACAAAAATTCCAAGTACCTTCGCAGATCAATACAATGCATTCCGGAGATCAGTAATACATGTTAACAAGTATAAAGAGTATAGCCTCTACGTATTTTACAGTTGCCCTCGAATGCTTTAGTGAAAAGCAGCAAAAACATAACCAACCTCTTGGCAGTATCATAAATCAGACACCGAGTTCGATGAAAGTATGGATAAAAGAAATATATACACGGAAACTCGTGAAAAACTCAAAGAGAATAGAACCTTGTGTTCTGAAAGAGTACGCGTCGTTTGCTTAATCTATGACACTCATCATGGAAATCAAAGTAACGTCATTATCCCATATAAAAAGAAGGTAAAGAACAACAAAACACTAGATATCTATAACACACGCCAAGTATTATACTGGACAAAGAAACAGATTATTTCTCGAAGAGACCATTTTGACATGTGAGTTTGTCTGTCAGTTGGCGAAGTCTTGCACGAATATGTGATATTGTCCTTAAAATCTAATCACCTGTGATTTCTAAATACCATACTTTAGGGATGCAAGGTTGTTGCTATCCAGAAACAACGGTAAGGAAATTGAAATCATCACGTTTATCATGATGGAAAGCTGTGCTAGTTGGTTTCTCTGTGGGGAAACATCGAGGTGAGCGGATAACATCTGCCGTGTCCTTGATTCCCAATTATGATGTGTATATACGATGACCATGATCGATAAATCTCTTATTATTCAAAGACATTACATCATCAACATATCTGAAAGTGAAATCAAAGGTCTTTGCAAAGTCTTTGTGACCTGTTTTGATAACCTATCTGATAAATTCGGCCTGAAAGTATGAAAGTATTAAATATGAAAACAAGGAACAAGTCAGCAAAGAAAGAGGCTCAGTTTGTACCTGTAGGTATGCTTGTAGTCTGTTGGGAGCTATTATTACCAAACACGACAACGATATTGTCAACTAGGAATTTTGCGATGACTTAAATTTTCCTCTTTGTTTCAGTGAGTTATGAACTCTGAACAATGAATTTCTGAACTCGTATCCGGTTAATTGATGTTTTATCGATAATTGTGGTCTGAAGGAATTGTGGAATGAGGATCGATGATGACATCAATTTATTCTGTCTTTTTATGTCCAGACGATATTAAGCTTCCATCTACATATCCCTTTACTGCTTACTAGCTGTTAATGGAATGACATGATTAATGACTGTAGGTTGTTAATGAGTACGGAAACAATGATTCTTGATTCTGTCTTCCTGGAACTTGTCAATGGCGAGGAAAACTTTGTAATCCATATGTGTTGATCTCTATTGGATTTCAATCAAGGTTTCTTCCTTCCTCTTTATTGCGTTTTCAATGTCTAAATATATCGCGTGTTGAGAATCCGTATAAGAGTCATTCAAAGCCGGTTTGGTGTTACCGTCGGTCATGCTGTGTCCAAACGTCATTTCAGTTTAAAGCATGGCTTTTGACATTTTACAGCGCGTATTTGAAAATGTAGCAAAATCCTTATATGTGTTGGAATATGTCTTGATAAAAACAGAGCGTGCGGAATGAAGGAGGTTTGATATTTCCTCAGAACATTGCGTAAAACGTTACATTGAGACATCAATATGCAAATACGGAAATAACAGAAAGGTTAGACGTCAGTGTCATTGAGAATATAGACAGCGCATTACAAACCATGACGTATTTGATAGTTCATATAATCTTATTCATATATATGTTTCCAAGATTTAGGAATGTGTGAGGACTTAGGAGATAGTATATACAGTATTCTGATGACTGTCATTGGCTCAAATTGACTATGAAATGCATTTTACTTCCGTATGATCGCGATATATTGAAAATTCAGCCAGAAAATATTAGATTAAAAAACTAAGCCTCAAATGTTAAAATAGTTTTTAAAAAAGATTTTAAAAATGTGCTTAGTCAAAGGGACTAAACCTTTACCTGGTGTCCAGCAGTACTTGTCTTCTTAAACCACATCTTCTATTTTTGTCACAATGTATTTCACATTTGACATGAAGTTGCGCGTGTTTGATGCTCTTTAGCTTTCATGGTAGTTCCGTTGTTGTTTACCGTGATCTCATTTGGGAACATGACATTTCTTGCTTGAACTGACAAATATATCTTTTGTAAATGAAGCAGAAGACGCTCACTCTTCAAGAACATCTTTTTCATTTCTCCCTGTACTTTATCAAGAGTTTCCGTGTACATCTTTATTTTGTTCATAGTTTACCCTAGTGCCATTTAATTTGTGTTTGTAAAAGATAATGTTGTATTTTTCTTTGTTGTTTTTTGTATCAAAAACCGTTTAAAATCTCAATGTGAAGTACATTAAATGAGCAATATCATTATTTGTAAACTTTCATTTTCATCACCATCATAATTTCCAGTAATGGCCGATAAAAATAAACTAATGGATGTTAAACTACATTTGCTGGTAATCATTGTACACAATAATGTGTGGCTGTGTAGATCTCGTCCTTTATTCTATACGTAAAACACCGGTGTAAATATTCTATTTCAGCAGTAGTTAAAAGAGGTGATATTGAATTATGGATTTTGACATAGAGTCGAACCTCGTTATCTGAAATTCTTAATAACTCGAAGACTCCATTTAATTCGAAGTATTTCGTCTGTTCAGGCCAAACTTTTCACCAAACATTTGATCTCTACTAAATCGAATGATCGGATAACTCGACTTTGTCAACGGTTCCGCCGACTTCGAAATAACGAAGTTCTGCTGTGTATCTAACGGTCTTCCTTTAAACATGCCTGTTTCATTTCTTAAACTCAAAATGATTGAAGACGACCATTAACTCATAGTATTTGATATGAATTAAGGAAATTTGAAGACATTTTGGAACAAAATTTACAGTTTTAGCATAGACATGAATTTCATCAGGAAAAAGACTAATATGACAAAAATAGTGCAAGTATTATTTCTCGTGTAATCCGAACTGTTTAAGTCTCACTTTTAAAAAAACAATAGACACAGTTGGTGGTATATATGGATAAAACATATATTTTAGGCTCTTGTCAATAAACTACACAAAATAGGGGAAATTCGGGTATTTAAAATATCAAGTAGCTATATTTGAACTTCTGAAGGCTCTGCCGACTCCACAGTAGGAACGTTATTAGAAGTCGTGGAACAAGATATGAAATTTCGAATAGAATTCCGGAATCTGGCTAAGCGTTGGTTTCTAATCTCAGATTCCCTCCTCGGTATATCGACAGCGATTCCAGAGTCGTCCGACATCAGTCGCGTCTTCTGTTTCTTAGGAGACGGAGTCACGTGATGTGGTTTGGCGCATGCTTCGTTGTCTTTCTCCTCTGTTGCGAATGTATTATCTGTGAAAGGTAATAGTAATAACAAAATACATGCATTGTTACAAGTACTATCGGCATGAATGTTAAAAAGATGTAGTGTAAACAAAGAAATATTCGCCCACGCTTAGTTTTCGCTCTTTTCATCAATGAAAATGGAGGGCTAATTTAAGATGGCGGAGAAAATTTGTTACGCCAATAAAACACTTTTATGTAATTGTTAGTGGGCGAAATTAACAAAAGGCATCATGTTGCATGGGCGAACTTAACCTAGTATACCATATTCGTATCGATTTATCAGGATTTCACTTAAAGGATTTCTGACAAGACCGGATCAAATTATGTGATATTTTCTGTCGACTGTAGTCTCCAATTAATTACCACAAATTGATGTCGTTTGGTGCATTTCAGCGGCAGCAAATCAAATCTTGTTTTCTTTCCTTTTTTAAAAATTTAGTCCAATCAAGAAAAAAACAGTCAGGTGCACTTTTAATTTCAATTCATTAATTTGTTTCGCATGTTGTTACCCTTATTCCTTTGATGTTGAAAGAAAAAATGGTTTTGTCTTGTGTTTACCAGATTATTACAGGAAATCTCCAGTCACGCCTGTCTCTACACTTCCCATTTTTTACCCAAATTTGATTCGAAATGAAAGAAACAAAACAGCATGAAATATAAACCCAGGCAATTTAATACCGGAAGTAACCCAGGGATATACACAGAAAATAATAATAAAGGATGTGACTTTGTTGTCTCTCCTGCCAACGTTAATTTGATATTAATTGTCAGCTGCCGGTCAAAATATGACTTACGTTGTGAGATAATTTTGCAAACGCTACGGTTTGACATATTTGTGATAGTATAGATCTTCAGCAAACTGCAATATCCAACCTTAGATATATAACATCGAAAGAGCATGGTCACAGGCATAAATAATAAAAAAAAAATTAGGCAACATGAAAAATGCGTATTATGTTTGATGTTCTTTTTTTGACGGAAGGGGGCATCATATTATCAGATACTCTTAACTTTTTTATAATGTAATGTGTAAAATGAATCAGATATGATAAATAGGGAATACAGAAATTAGCGTGTTTGATTAAAAAATGACTAGAGAAAGATGAGAACCAAGTATGTCATTATTGATTGGCTTCGAATTGCTCATGGTTATTTGCCTATTCAAATATCAAAATTTCATATGGGTAGACTCTTGAATTTTAAGAGGCCGTGATAAATATGTCGGTTAAATGTTTGACCTAGGCAACCTCCTCTTCGACGGTGACTACAATGGCGGATTGTGTTTCTCAGGAAGCTAAGAAACAAGTCGGTGTGTGCTGTTGTGATTGTGTCCTTAAGCAACTTTTCCCCTTATCGCTCTGGATAGAATGCGACGGCTCTCGCGTATGTTGTTCACAGAGATAACCACCAGCTACTATAATGATCCTGACTGGACGACAAAATGTATACCTTTCGCTATGGAAAATAATGTTTGTTTTTGACAACTCTCACCTGAACTTTTTCTCTTTCGAAAGAAATCGGCAATGCTCCTCTTTTCTTCATTTCCCTCTGAAGTCTGACTGGGACGTCTAGTTGTAGCTCTCTGACAAATAACAAAAGCTTGTTTAACTAGGATTTTCCCCTGTATCCTGCGATGAAATACCGAAGGATAATATTTGGTATTCTGAAACAAAATCTGCTATCGCGAAGCTCAACGATACATCTTTGATATACAACTATACGTGTTATTGCAGCAGCGTTTATTCTAATAACAACCACGTTTTGCTCGTAGCAATATGACTCATGTCACTAAATTACCCAATGCCTCCAAGGCCTGTTAATGCATACTTAGCAACATAGTGTTCTATGATATATTTGCAGGCACGTGACTTTGAGCGGATTTACACAAGCATAAAATGCATGTTTTTTTTCTCTCTGAATTTATGTATCGCTTGTCAACCTCCGGTAACTGAATACTGAAATAAGTTCGAGATGTCATTCAGTCTATTGGATTGTGTCTTGTGTGAAGTTTCTTTATATGGTTCCAACAACCTGATCACTTTTCTTTTGTTTAAAGCTTAAAATGATAGCTTAAATTGATTAAATCCATTGACTGATTTAAGACCACGAGTCTCATCTCAGAACTGGCAGTATAAATTCTGCGTTATGAAAAAATCCCAAAATCAGCCTATTAGCTTGAAATGTGTACCCTAAAGACCCGAAAAACAAGCCGACCTCAAAAATAAACCATATAGTTTACAAATAAACCTTTGCTAAGTATTGAATAAACTAAGCTTCTTTTCCCTACTTTTAAGGGTATTTTGTGCATTTCATAAACAATGATCACTTTTTGCAGCTCTTTCAATGAATACCGAACAAAACTGATTTTCGGACGCCATTTTCATCCTTTTGCTTCATCAGTATCCTTTATAAGTATAAAAAAGTTACTGTATATATAAAAAGTTCGCAATGTTTATTTTCAATACTATCCAGTTGTGCTTTTAACAGGTAATGTTCACTGGAAACTTATTCATGATAGAAGTCGGTTTGCGAACACGAATTTGTACTTAATTATTGACATCGGCAGACGATAACAACAGAAATTTACGATCTTTTGTTTCAAACTCTGAGATACTAACCATGAGAGCACTCCTCACAGCCATGAGTCTGCTAAGGAATGCCCATCCACCGTGCGAATCATCTTCCTCGTGGTCGTTGTTAATATCCACGGAGCCGCAGGCACCCTCGCCTGTCACCTGACACGATGATAAAGGGTCCCCTTTGGATAACCCAGGACCTGTACAGAAATATTGAATGTGGCGTGAAGAGTGCAGCAGCACTTAGTGGTACGGTGACCTATTGGTAACACACATATCTCTCACCTAGACGTCTGGGGTTCGATTACCCGATCAGATATGGTGATCCCCAGCCCGATTTCCCCCGGAGTAAGAACATAACAAGACTCCACATAAAAACCTAAAATCAATTACAACATGAGAGGTTCGCTTTTGAAGCTATCACTTTTATCAATTTGTATTCCTATTACTTTCCTCGTGTTATATATTATTTAAAGGTATTCTAAATTTAAATGAAAAATCTATTATTGTTTAAACAGCTGGCCGATTCCTGTTCATTTCAGAATCATATTTAAAAAACGGTTTTACCTTTCTTTCAAAATATCAAAATGTCTAGATGGAAATCATATAGTAGTGAAGAGTGATATAAATCGAAATACTCACTACGGTCATTTGTAATCTTGTATAGAGAAAAAAGAACAAAGACTGTGTATGAATTACCAACCCCCATAACCTTTGACTTAATTTACTCTTCAAAATCGCTGGCGGCAGCGAAGCGTTTGGTAAAAACTTATTATTCCCGTATGAAAAGAAACCTGATCACAAATAATCAACCAAAAGTATATCTGCTCTACTTCTGCGTCTCCATACACGACATGTTTCATCTATACGATAATCAGTGACATTGGCATAGTATCCTCTTCAATTATGTATCTATCCTCAAGTATAGGGGGCCTGTAGATAAACATCAGCAGTGAATCGTATTTGTGAGAAGGTAATTGGAATTGGTAGGGAATTCTTCATTCTTAATGCCAGACTTAATGGATAATTCTGCAACAGCGTACGCTTTCCGGAATGCAGTTCCCGGATTTTTGTCTTTATTATTGCAATAGACGACGTGAACCACGACTTTTTCCGATCGGAATGGAAGCTATGTCTTGGCCCAAATAGCACTAGGAAAAAGATTACCATAGCAACAAAATAGCTTGTCTTATCTGATACCTAATACAGCGTTTAAAAGAATATAACGAACTTGTCAATACATATACCGGTATATGTCATGCTATGAAAGTGAATCCAAACCTTGCTTTCTGTCGTCTAATCCTGTTTTTGATCCTGAACTGCTAACATCATTCCCTACGTCATCATCGTCATCAATCCATGTCTCTTGAAATCGGACAGCTTCCGGTTTTTCTGTTGAGTGTGTGACCTTCCGAATATACATATTAATTGATTATTAATTAGAATAGAGGATATGAAACAATGTTTGATTTTTTATGTCAAAACAAATCTGTAAAAACTACAACGTAACTGTTGATTCTTTAATTGAAATGATTTATAGAATTTATCTAGAAATGTCAGTTTCGTACTGTTTTGAAATACCAACATGATTTAAACATAGGGAAGAGGTTTATCTCTGAAGGACAATGGAAATAATTTGCATTTTGTATATCCATTTCAATAATATTTCTCGATATTGATTGAAAGTTTATTCTATTTAAACTATCACAGATATGTCCATTCACGATAACACTTTCTTTATAAACATCAACATATTTTTATACAAAAATGGTTTTCCATTATTTTTTATTTCATTTTTGCGGTTTTGTTAAATTTTTCAAATTTTGGCATGTCTTTCAACAAAGTAGCAACATTCGAGAAGACATGCATGATAAGGCACGTCGTTATGTCCACCATCAAAATGTCAGAGACATCATGGCAGACGTGTTTCAGAAATCGATCACCATTAGCATAAAGATTAGAGGACAAATTTCTCTGAGCTGGGTTCTGAATAAGTCGGATAGAGAGGGGAATACCAATTCATTCTCTTGGTAGTCTCACGAGATAATACAGTAAATGATACAGTGTCTTCTAAATCAAACATTATTTTACCATTAATATCAATGATATTGGATCGTTTTCTCTATCATGGCGAATTTCTGATGCCTCTAGAGACAAGGCTAAAATTTCAGGGTCCATCATTCTACAGACACTTTCCCTGGCGAATAAGAGTGGTCACTGAGACTTTTCTCTCTCCGACATCAATGTGCCAAATGCATATTGCAGCTTCTGTCACTAAATACAAAATAACACTTTTTATTTTGGTGTTCGAATGACAGAAGTATGAAGACGCCAAAGAGCCGCGTCAATAGATCTCTTATGAGTTCTTGTGTATCCAAGAACAAAGTTAACACAAAATGGATCTAATAGATAAGCTTTCATAAGACAGATGTAATATGGTGTCAAATCCATACCATAACGTACCATATTTGAAAGTGTCTATGCCATATCTAGAGATCTGAAAATTTTGTACACTTTTGAAAATAATGTTCTATGAGCTAGTATTTAAAGAATTCTTAAACACGTTTACAAAACGATAGACCAAAATTAACCGTAGAGAAAACATCAATGATACGTTGCGTTTAAATAGTATTTGACATCAAAGTCATGTAAAAATCTTACGTCATCAGTGTCTCAAATGTTCAATCAGAAGAATCCTACCTAAATTTGTGAAGGAAATAAAAATGAAAAATTGTAAATATCAATATAATATCGCGGAAAACACTCGCTATGGAGGAAGTTGTTGGCAGCAAAACTGAGCAAGTCAGATAACTATAAAAACAACCAATACATATCAACACGTCTCTATTTCTCCTCCGAACTAGTATATACAAAATTCATGCATTGTTTCGGAGAAAATCATTGAAATACATTGTAGCTATTGAAAAATAAGTTGAATATTTGAAATACATTTCAATTGATTTTTTTTTTTTCAATTTTGATAACGAAACATCTATCACAGCTGCTTTTGAAACGAGTTCTTATATGTTCACTTAAACACCTTCTCTTGTAAGCGAAATCGTGTTTTGTGGATATATTGATTTTTAAAGGTATTGTTGCAAACAATTTCGTAGCAGATCTTTTTTTTTTTAAATTTGGACAATTCAGAAACCTTCAATGAAAACTTGGTGATGCACAACGTAGGCATTACCACCAGCAAAATGTCAGAGACATCATGGCATACATGTTTCAGAAATCGATCAGCAGTAACAGAGAGATTAGAAGACAAGTCTCCCTGACCTGGGTTCTGGGCAATGCAGAGAGGGGAATAGCAATTCATTCTCGTGGTAGTCTTACGAGATAGAACAGTAAATAATTCAGTGTCTTCTAAATCAAACCTTATTTAGCCATTATTGTCAGGAATATTGGATCATTTTCGATATCATGACGTATTTTTAATGCCTCTGGAGACAAGGCTAGCATTTCAGTGTCCAGCATTCTGCAGGCACTTTCACTGGTGAAGAAATATGGCCATGGCGACTTACTTTCTCCATTATCAATGTGCCAAACAGATGATGGAGCTCCGTCCAGGAACTATAATATAACAACCCTTACTTTTGAGTTAGAATGACAGGATCATAAAAATGCCAAACGGCCGAATCAGTTTATCTCATAGGAGATTTAATGTATCCAAGAATTAGCTTAAGATAAATACACTAAGGCAAAATATGAACAAAGAAGATATAAGGAAAATATATGCAGGTGTTCTTGAAGAATAATCGTCTTCTCCATTATCGACGACATCCGCTTTGTCAATTTTGGTCAATCCAAGTAAGTAATTCACGTTCTCAAATCAAGTATACAACAACGGAACCAACGGGGAAATTACGAAATAACGAAAAACGTCCAGCTTCATATCGCAGAGAAAGCCAGTAATTTCTGTTCTATTCTAGGTTTTATAACGATAATAAATAATTTATGAAAATTGTAAAACCCACTAAAGGTGCCATGTGACACTAACACGGATTATTTGGCATTTTGACCATTTAAGGTACACTCGATGAAAAAACACTTATGAAGACATGAATTTGTTAGAGGGTTTGCTAACAGGGAGAATTGGGATTATGGCCGCGATGTTTGTTTCGTCATGGTGATCTCATTGCGAAGAATTCCGTTGCTTTGTGCAATATGAAGCTGAACGTGTTTGATGCTCGTTAGCTTGCCGGTTGGTTCCATTGTTGTATACCTTGTTCTCATTTGTGTGTGCGTTATCATTCATAGAAAATTGAATTATAGGTTGTTCTCTAAGGGAACTACAAAGAACATTTGATATTTCTCAGGTAATGTTGCTTTGAAGTGTTAACGTTACCGTATCGCATTGGCAAGCTTCCTGCTATACGGCCCAAATATCCCCTCATTGATTCCTTTTGTCACAGAAATTAAAATCAATGATATTTTTTTTTACAATTACGTACCTGTTGTCGACTTTACAAATCAATCACCAACGAAAACTAATCAGAATTAGTCTTTTGTTATTGACTATTAGTAATCACGTTAATGAGTTGAGAGAGCAGGCCATTGAATAATAATTTTGTTCCTGTTTAACAGCGGAAACTACATAGGGATGTGATTTAGAATCTGTTCAATGATAGCAGAAAAAAATAAAAGGAATCATATCGATTCATGTCTGTCCCGGATTTTATCGAATCATCCCAGTGAAAAAAAAAGACTTAAAATGTCATTGTCCAACGGCAAAGACAATACAGAATAATCAATAAGCTACAAACACTTGTATGACCTAGTTACCCGAAACAATAGATGTGACAGCATGGTATTAAATGAATGACTTTGTGTTATGTTACAATACATGTTATGAAGACTAACAAGTTCATTTCAGTATGTTGTGCCACCGTTCACAGAATGCCGCGTAACGTTATTATTTGGTTTCACTCACGTATGTTTCTTGTATATGAAATTTTAATATAATTTTTATTTTCTTTACTTCTTAAGAATCTGAACCGTCCAACAAATGCTTCATGAGAAAAAAATATAACCTTGGGAGATGAGCACAAAAAAACACCTACACTTTGTTGTTGTTATCTTGTTCTATTACTTTGGAAAATTAAGTTATATTCTACGTCATATTTCACGCCCTTGGGTCGATAATGAACGCCGTTCATGAAGAAATGCGTCGTAATGAGATTGATTGCATGATTCTTTGTGTATATCTAGTGAAGATTGGATCATGAATCTAAAGCGTGGCAAAAATACTTATCGTTTGTTTTATTTGGCTTCATAGTATACATGATCCCATAAAAGTTTATGTACAAAACATATCAGCATTATCTACTACATGACAACACATTTAACATTAGAATTGCGACAGAAAACAAAAAGAAAATGGTTTAACGAGGAAACAGTCCGTATTGTATGTTAAATGACAATGTTTAATGAAGATGTGAAGCAACTCTCCAGCCAACTGAATGCTCGGAAAAGGGTTATTTTTCAAAATACAGAGCCAGACAAAATTGTGTTAAGTTTTAATATAGAAGTGTGAAAATGCAAAGTTATTTCAGGGGACACATCTCCATATTGTACTTGTCATTCCCAAAAATTATACAATAATTCTTTGTAAACTGAGCGAATGCATAGCCGTACAAGATGATTCCAGTATACCCCCAACTCGGTTGAAAGGGGTATAATTAAGGGAGGCAACTCTCATACATCCGACATACCATAATCTTAACGCAACCAAATACATATATAAGGATTACAAATAGAAAAGTATATTTATAACATCATATAATTTACATATTTCGGCTTAAAGTCATTGTGCATATATATGTAATTGCACGGTAACAACTGTCAACACTGAAGTCTATTGAATCAACATTTAATTTTAGCTGTTCAACACTTTATTTCAGCTATTTATATGCATTAATCGTAAGCCATATTCAACCAGTATTTCCTATACTTGTCATCAAGTAAGATACTGGAAAATATAAAAAAAAATCTGGTGCTTGTATCTAGCCATGTAAGATATATGAAAATTGAAGCAAAGGAATATTCCAATAAAAAGGTGCTCCCAATCAGAATTATGTTTGTAAGCCCATCACAAGCAGGACAGCTTTGGAAACGAACATTTATACCAATAGGATTGATATCATAAATAACAGAAATCATATAAAGGGCAATCAAAAAGTTGATGAGACGCTGTTTCTGATTTCTTTCAAAAAAGTCAGACAATCAGTAAGATGGTCGTAGCATGATTCATTATTTAGTAGAATTTCACAGCTTACATATAATAGTACAAGCAAGCCAGTTACATTCTGTTTAAAAATAATGTAGGTTTTACCAAAAGTCTGTATTAGAGGGAAGGTCAAGGCGATAAGAAATAGAGTTGTTAATTCTGATGCATATACAAGGAAA